GCCCTGGATCTTCTCTGGTATACTATCCCTGTAATGGCGACTCCCGACAGGCTTGGGGTGCGGCGAACTGTTCTCTCAACGGACAAACTCCCTTGGCATGCTTATCTCTCTATTTGGCCGATTTCTACTCTTTCCAGTCGCCTCCCCAAGCCTGGTATAGGCTACGCGATGTCGTCTGCCATTGCGACACTGAGCACTATTATTAAGGCTTAGAGGGTTCACAATTTAAAATCGTAGATTTAATGATTCAATAACGATTTAACGCGAAGTAGTAAGATTAAGTAGCTTTAAAGTGTTACTTTATTTACATTGTTTTTGTTTTCTATTTTCCTTAGCGTAAGGGCATTTCATACATTTGGTTGTGATCAGGCCATCTGATGATGAGGGGTCACTTCAGATCACTGACCTGTAAGTTGAGGCTGGCTTGTCTGAACACCACGGTTAGATTTCTACGTTATAAATATCTAGTCTCCACCAGACTCCTTTGCAGGCTGAATAAATAGTAGAAATCGGCTAAGGGGAACATCATTGGCCAGAAGAGTTGGCCACTTGGCCGGCCAGAGGGTCCACCAGACTCCTTTGCGCAAGCTGGACCCTCTATGGCCGGCCAACTCTTCTGGCCAATGATGTTCCCCTTAGCCGATTTCTACTATTTATTCAGCCTGTAAAGGAGTCTGGTGGAGACTAATAAATATCACCGGGCATCTACAACTTGAAAGTCTACAGGGTTCGCGCAGACGTTTGTTGTTTCACAAAGACGTGTGCTCGCCCTTGTTGTTTGAGTAATTAGGATCTATTAGGTTTTATTCTATAATAGGTCTTATTCAACACTTTTTTGTACTTTGCCATATACATTGTACCATGTGTAATTGTCGTGCACTAAAGTTATTCTTCTTCTGTAATGTCCTTTCGGCGGCCCCGCCGACAGCTAGTGGAAAGGGCTCATGAAAGAGCAGCTTCGTCACCGACAAACCCTTGAACACTAGGCAGAAAGGCCACGCGACAGCCTGGTCCGTTATCAGTATAGACCACAAAACAACATGATCCACAAAGAACAGACGACCAGGCGGCCGACAACAACCTCTGCTCCGGAAGGCTCTCGTGGCTTTGAAAGACGCAAGTTGAAAGGCAAACCAATAGATTAGACTGTCTCTCTTGTCTCATCGGATCATATGGGCCTGCCATTGGGACCATATTTGCATTCAGACGGCAAGAATAGGAAGGAGAAATATAATTAATGTTCTAAGAAACGTTTTTCGAGGGCTGCAGTTGTACATTGTGTATTCCCAGGTCAAAACCTCACACAGTAACAAGAGGTCCCGTACTCCCATGTCATCCTACCCTGGGAACCAGACTGGATTTCGGGACGTTAGCCAGTTCCCTTCGGTGATCCAAAGCAGTTCGCCTGCCTATCTAAATTACCGCTACGGGGGGAGTTGGCCAACTCTCCTCGGGCTCACCCCCTCTCCACGTAGCGGTAATTTAGATAGGCGGACGTACTGATTTGGGTCACCGAAGGGAACTGGCTAACGGCCCGATAGCCATTCTGGCTCGCAGGGTAATGTCACTCATCCATCTACTCCAGGTACAATGCATGTAACAACCGGACAAACATATACCACTTGCTGCACGATGTAACCCCAAGTGTACGTTTCATCTATCGACAAAGCCTCTTTCACGTGTGTTCTGTCAGGAGCGACACTTTGTCGGATGCAGAGGTAATCAGTCTGCCGGTGTCTCCCCGGTCCACACCAGCTAATTGCACGGAAACCTCCAAGACCAGACGTCATAGATCTTTTGTCACGAGCCCACCGAGGTTACAATTCTGGGTATCAATCAGTGCGAATCCACAGGGGCAGCCAACTTGACTTAGTTACGATATATATCATGTAGATGTCGGAACAAGGCGGTGCTATTTAGACCCATGGCATGAGGGCATGAGGTACACTCAAAATTCTCGAAAAAAAAATTATTGGCATTTAAGAATACAAGAAAATCCAAACTTACAGTTTTACTATTACTTTTAGAGTCCATTCCGCGTCACCGAGTGGGTTGTTATTGTCATTATTTAGAAATGTTTTGAATTCTTTGTAATTGTTTGTCTAAGAAATTTCATAATTTGGAAATATTTTGAACATCTTGTCAATATTCTAAATAATTCCCTGGTTTTCTAAAACGTTTGAAATATTCCTGATGTGGAATATGACATTTCCAATAGTTTCTAAATATTTCTAACAGCACTCTACCATTTTTTACCATTATTTCGAATTATTTCTAACATTTTGTAAATAGGTCAGTGGGATGGGAAGGAAGTAATTCACACATCCCTGTGAAGTACAGGGTAGACTGCCTGGGTGTCAGGCATTGATGCCTTACAACAAAAGAGCCACCAGTGTCCAGCAGTGAAATCTAAAAATATACAGAAGAATACAGAAGAGTAGGATTAGCACCTACTTTTATGGGGGCAATTACCCACATCTACCATTTTTCATTTGTTTGAAATAGTTCTAAATATTTCGAATAGTGAAAGAAACAAATGGGTAGTTCAAATTTATTCTAAATAAAGAGATCTTTGTACAGTCACTTTCAAAATGTTTCAGAAAAATATAAATGAATTCAAATATATTCAAATTTTCATTTTCAAATTTTTGAAAAATTTAGAACTTTTGTTACTAGGGTATTCTTTTCTTCTAAATAATTCAAACGTATTAGAAACATGGAGAAAAAACCCACTTGGTGACGCGGAATCGACTCTACAGTCACTTTCAAAATGTTTCAGAAAAATATAAATGAATTCAAATATATTCAAATTTTCATTTTCAAATTTTTGAAAAATTTAGAACTTTTGTTACTAGGGTATTCTTTTCTTCTAAATAATTCAAACGTATTAGAAACATGGAGAAAAAACCCACTCGGTGACGCGGAATCGACTCTATCGTACATCTACAAACCTGCAAGTTGTTGAGACTGAATACCCAACGAGACCATAGCATGTCCAGGAAAAAAGATACAAACCCCGGAAGTTTTGCTGCAGTACCATAGCCAGCCACCAGGAGGCATTTGACCTTGACCTTTGCCTTCCTTAGACCTAACCACATACCAAATGTCATAAGAATCCATAAAGGCCTCCTCAAGTTATGCTGACCACAAGTATACGGAAACTCAAACACACACACACACACACACACACACAGACCAAAAACATTTTCATGT